TCTAAAACGCCTTTACCAATCTTTATGAAATTTTGTATAAAAATACTTCAACTTATATCTCAGTTTACGTGTTCGAGGGTTTTTCGAGAAAATATTTTTAAAGCCCTTTTATTTAATAATAAAAAAAAGGTTCAAAAAATAACTTTTAGGGATTTTTTTAACTAAATAAAAAATATGCCTTTAAAGACCGTATTTTTGTTAGTATACCCTGAAAATATTGTACAAATCAAACGAACAGTAACGAAGATACATCGCTTCAAAGCCGGTAAAAATTACCCCTTTTTGATTATTTTGCTGAAAAGTGGTCATTTTTGACGAATTTAAAGCGCTGTATTTTGGTTACTGTTTGTTTGATTTGTACAAAATTTTCAGGGTATACTAACAAAAATACGGTCTTTCACAGCATATTTTTAATTTACTTAAAAAAAATCCCTATAAAAGTTTTTTTCGAGCGTTTTTTATTATTAAATAAAAGGGGTTTCAAGATATTTTCTCGAAAAACCCTTGAACACGTAAACTGAGATATAAGTTAAAGTAATTTTATCCAAAATTTTATAAAGATTGGTAAAGGCGTTTCAGAGTTGGATTTTTTTAACTTGTTATGCGTTAATTTTGATGCGCAGTGTATATATTTTATCAAACATAGATATTCATTTGATTTGAGTCCAGCTTTTTCGCCTTTAAGAAAAAAGGAGGATCAAAATTAAATAAAGAAATTAAAACTAATATTGTCAACAAAAAAATTGTGATTGTGACAAAAAATTTCCGATCTAATTCGCTGTTGGTTACCTACCCAAGCAAAAAAATTCCACTAAAATACATGTGTTGCCATGGTGAACTGTAAAAAAAAACATTTTGATTGGTTAAAAATAACTGATGTGGAATTTTGTTAGAAGTTTCTAGGGAATTGCAAAGGACATCGATTTAAAATTTTAATAGCGTAAATTATTCGATTTAGTGTTTTTTCCTAAATTATTTTGAACAAAATAATACTTCCTTTTTTACCGAAAATGTCTTTAACTTTGATATTTTAAACAGGACACCTTATATATTTTTACATTTTTGAATTCTACATAAAATTCTGAGTATACCATATCTCATACCTAAAGTTAATATTTTTCGAGTTATTAATTTTTCAATCAAATATTTTAGTTAATTTTAAAAAATGACAGATAAGTGGTAACCATGGATACTGTCACATTAACTGTACAATTTCACAGGTTTGTTGATACAAAATAGTATTGAAAGTATTAGAAATTGTTAAATGTCTATGAAATTTTAACTTTAGGAAACAGTTATTTTAAAACCAATCGAAAGATTCTTTAATTTTCTATTTGATTATGTTAAAACATACAGGGTTTTACATTTAGGTATAATAAAAACGTTATTATTGTTTGAAGTTTGCCTAATTTCAAATGGTTTTTTTTAAGCTATTTGTTGAAAAACCTTTAAAAAATTTAATTATTTAAACAATATTTAATACTCCAAAAATTCCAACCCGATGTCAGCAAACCCAATAACAAAAAAATTAGAGGCTATTTTTAATTGACGTGCATTTAGCAAAATTTTAACGAAAAAAAATTAATATATTGAAAACTATTGACTTTAGGTATAGTATAAAACAAATTGTATATGCTATTAAAATTTTAATTCCATATCGTTTGCGTTTCTCCAGAAACACCCTGTATAGCATTATATTAAATATAAAAAATGCAAAATATACATATATTAATATATGTAATGCAATCACCTATAGGCAATTGCCTATAGGTGATTGCAACATAAAAAGTAAAGTCTTTATTCTAATTTATTTATTGGGTAAATTTTTCTTTCATCATTTTGGAATTAAAATTGAAGCTTGGTTGTGGAGCAAAAAATAAAATTAAAGAAGGTTATAAATTCTAACTTGCTATTTGTTTGGAAATATTTTAAGATTAAAAACCCAGCCTAAATTATCTATAGTAATGTCAAACTTGCTCTGTGGTTTTACCTTTGTTCCAGAGCCAACCTTAATTGTTTAATGAACTTTGAACAGGCTATACAAATTTTACAAACTATATATTAATATTAAGAAAATTTTCTTTAAGCAACTCATTATATTCAGGTTCTTGTAAGAATTGTATGTTATATATAATATATTATATGTAATATATAATGTATATTATGTAATATAATATAATTATCTTATAAAACTAGATAAAAGAATGTATACTTTGTAAAACACGTTTGTATTATGCCCTTTGAAGGCCTAACTTTAAAATGATGTCTCTCCTAGAAACATAATTTGCATGTAGAAGTTTATATACAGGGTGTTATGTAATTAATGTTATATATTAAAATGGGTAGTTCCTTAGGGTCCATAAAGAAGCACCTGAAACTTTTTTTTCTAAATTCCAAAGACTAAAAATAATTTATAATAACCTTTATCCTACCAAAAAGTACGCCACTGATCGACTAGGAACCGCGGATTAACCTTACCTATTACTTTTTAATGCAGTGTTGCCAAATGTAAAATTAAAAATGTATTACCTTATATGAGATGCTCAAAATGATTTCATTATTTAGAATGCAAGCTTAAACTCTGCGAAGCATGCTTTCGCGCACCCGCGTAAAAATGTCTGGACTATTTACAATTAAGTTCCTGAGTTGCTGCCCAAATCCCGTCTCTCGTAAATGTGGCATCATCGGTATAAAAAACACTACGGCTCCAATCAGCATCTTCTTGATTTTTCTGTATATACCAATGGCAAAATTTCAACCGCAGTGCATAATCTCCATCCTGAAGAGCTTGAACTTTTTGTAGGTGATAGGGGTACAAACTATTTTCGTGAATCGTGCGCCACGTAACAAAGTTGGACATTTGTCCAAGTTGGGCAGTTAATCGTCTTGTACTAATTCTGGGATCTGCTTCCACTTCGTCCAAAATTTGTTCTTCAAGGGCCACAATTTCACGTCCCTGAGCCCGACCCCTATCACCAACAAATGCGCTAAATCTTCTGCGGTCCCTTAAATTTTGCACAGCACGTACAAAACTTTGCTCCGAGGGCGGTGGATGTCCGTCATTGGCGTTGTGATAATTTTGAATATACCTACCTACAAAATTCTTGATTGACGAGCATTTTGCATCGCTTCCCCGTAACACAAAACCATATTTGTTAATTGAATATTTGTGAGCGCCCGACCCGCCATAGCATAATATCTTTCGCACTAATTACTTATTATTATTACTAATAAAATACAAATTTTCAAACTTTCAAAATATTTATAAAAGAATAAAAACCTGAAAAAACTTGAAAAAAAATAAAAACCTGAAATCGCTAGATCACTAATTAGACCTTGTAAAAATTTGTAAACTAATGATTTTTTAAAAATCGTTTTAACATTGTGATTTAAAAACATACTTATAAAAAATATATTTAAATTTAGACACACCAGATTTAAACTTTATTCATTATTCGTAATGATTTACTTTACTTTAAGTTAATCTGGTTTAATTTATTATGTTATGGTTGGTAACACATTCTGTCAAAAAATTGTAGGTTATGTGCTCAAATTGTAAATATCTTAACTAAGGGAAGTGATTTTGGGCGTTTGGATTTATTTACACAAATTAAATGTTTAACGATTAACCTGTGAACTTGTCCTAATTTCATCTGAGTAAACAGAAAGAAAAAAACCAATGAAAAAATTAATTTTATGGAGGTTTTAAATAGGTACTAATTTTTCTTATCATTGCTTAAGTTAATAGCTGGATGAGTAAATAAATACAGAATGGTATTAGAGCTTTAAGGGCTTAAAACTTTTGTATTTATTGAGTTTTTATTTATTTTATGCAAGAAAATTTTGTAGTAACAATTTTTTACAACTGGCAACGTGCAGCTACTTTGTTGGTTTGTATCTATGTACTCACAGAACACAAGTGTGTAACCAGTGGCGTATCACAAAAAATATAAAAAACTTCTAATGCATATATTTTGTTTATCTTTGGGAAAATATCTTTTAAAATATTTTTCCATTACACCTTATGTCAAAAGGTATTCAGTATTTTAATATATAACATTAATTACATAACACCCTGTATTAAATAATAGTTAATTATCAGTACTTTACCGTGATATACTCAAAATTATAAAACAATGTTGCTTCTTCGATTTTTTAACCCTTTAAATTAAATTATCCCCAGCGCCCCCTGTATATTAAAATCTAAAAAAAAATACGTGGATTTATTGCCATTAATAAGGTCTACAGTTTAATTTCAAATCGAGATGTTTCTAAATAAAAATTGTATTACAAAATATTGAAATTTCTCTAGTTTTAACACAGTAGGCCTGAAAACCACAGCAGTCAATGGATGAAATTTTTTTTTTGAAAAAAATGCACCATTTAGATTTAGAAACAAGGTTAAAAAAATTTATTCAATTCTGGCATCACTTGCAAACAAATGTCCAAAATTTGTTCGATTTTAACGCGAAACCATAGTTAAGACACTTTTAATTCACTAAACAATAAAAATCAAATGATTAAAATCTGAAGAATGTTTTTTTTGTAAATTTAGAAAAAAATGAGTTTTGATAGAGTTGCGATTCATTGTTTAACATTTTAAATGATTAAAAAATTATTTTTTAAGCAAAATGTAGAAAACTAATTTTTTTGTTTAATCATTCCTGGATTAAGTAAAGGGCTTAAAAAATGTGCTCTCAGAAGAACGTTTGCGCAAGAAAAGTAAAGAACACAAAAAAATCAATTGTTTATAAAAATTAATTTTTTTGAAATTTTCAGATAATTTTTTACCTAAGATATGCCAAAGTTTCAACAAAATCTATTTATCTGTTCAAGAATAACTAGATTTTGTTTGATAAGTTACCAAAAATTTTATTTCGCAGTAACTTTGCTAAAAAATAAATAAAATAATGTTTTGTTTAATTACTTTGTATGGTAAAATAGAACAAAAAAAACAATTTTTATCGTGCCGATTTTACGAACTATGGCAAAAATGTAAAAGCCCATTGCGGTTATTTTGCGCCAGTTTGTTTAAAAGTATTTTGTCTGCTTATAACCTACTAGAATTTAATTTACGCCTTGTTATTTTTTGCTATGTTATGTGTGGCCCAATTTATTGACGTTTTCCACGAATTTGTAAGAGCTTCATCAAACTTAAGCTTAAAGTGGCTCAAAGCTTCTTCGTCGGTTTTTGAAAGAACCTGAAAGAAACATTTGGAAACAAGATTTTATACATATAATGAATCTTACCAAAGTTTCCCTTAAATAGTTGAGATCTTTTTCCGAGCTGAGTTCCGGCAAACCGGTTGAAATCATCATTGCACATAGGGACAAAATTAAGTTTCCGTGTTTTCTGAGAATCATAAAGGCCTAAAACAAATTTTCATTTAAAACATAGATAAAACTGTACAATATTTGTGCATTTTACTTTTTCGCAGTATTCCTGAAACTTGTGAAACTCCGAAGCGTTTTTCTGTCCTTTGTTGATAACATTGACAAAATCGTGAGTGAGGACAAAAGGTACGCGTTCACGTTTGAAGCCGAATTTTTCCTTAAAGTGGCCGAGGATGTGCCCGAAATCGATGTGGAAAAGCTAGAAGAAAAATAAAAAAAATTGCCACCTTGTACTTGGGTCAAAATCACAGAACACATAGAACCAGAAAGCGCTTTAATTGGCATAGAAACTTGTGTAACCGAAATCAGGGGAAAGAAAGATGCGGGAGGAAACAAGTCATGCGAGTACGCTTATCATTTTAGCGATGCGCCGCTTTGATATAACAGGAGGGTATTCAGGAATTGTTTTTATTTAATAAATTTATATTATAATGTAGGTACATAATATGTACCCTCTATCGTGTTATGTGTGCAGTGTGTTATTGAAATATAAATGTTTGGTCAAGAAATAAAAAGCTTGATTTAACTTTAAACTTAATGTTTAATAATAGTATATTAAAGAACTAATGTCATAAGACGTCATTTTGTCGCACGCGGACAATTTATAAAACGAGCGACGAAGGAGCGAGTTTTGTAATAAACGAGTGCGATAAAAGGTCTTATGACATGAGTTCTTTATGCTATTTTATTTATTTTGCAAATATTCTGTAAAAAAAAATAATTTTATACCTTATATTTAATTTGGTCGAATTTTACTTTAGATAGTTGGTATCACAGTCATTGGTTTGACAGTTAATGTCAAAATCGATTCGCCATGCCGTTCTTAATTTACTTATTTACAATAAGCTGCTGTTAATGTTAAAGAAGAAAAAAAGGATTTTCTTTGGTGTTAAACAAAATTTATTGCCAGAAAAGTCTCGTAAGTACTAGAAAAATCATAAAAATATTATAACCAATATGCAAAATATTCTTCTTCTTCTTCTTCTTTGTTTGGTTTGGCCTTTCCCATCCAGGATTTAGCCAGCTGAATTTTATTATTATTATACTGGAGCAAGCGAGTCTAGGATAACCTATAGCTTCTCCTTTTCTTCTTGGTTTTATAGTTTATTAATTATTATTATTTTTGTCACTTTTAGATTCTTTTTTCACTTATTCTCTTTTTATTCACTTATGTCCATCACTATCATTTTTGTCTTTTTTAGAGTTTATTCAATATAGCTTATATCAGCAGCGGAAGTCACTTTTATTATACTTTTACACATACACATACAAAATCACGATATTAGCAGCGGAAGTTACGAGGCAAAAAAAAAGCAAAAAAAAAACCGACTATGCACCACATGGCTGTTTGCAGAAATATATTCAATCCTTCAATATTACGACCATCCTGTGTGAAAATCCCTTGCATCTTTACCAATCTATTGTAGATTTTGTGGATTCAGCAATTATCAGCTTATTTATTCGATGAGTTTCATATTATCCACTCAAGGATAGCCGATCCATCTACTTCAGCAGATAACACAAAACTGTATGCAAAATATTGTTTTACTAGTATTCTGTTTAAAGTATAGCCAACCTATAAAATCAAAATTTTGGGTGGGGTAAAGCATCTCATTAGAGAGTAAAGCGGTGTTATAATGAAGTCAATATGAACGCAAAATAGATAAAATATATGTATAGGACATAAAAACACAATTAGTGTCCTCTAAATAATGTCATTTTATTTAATATATGACGTTTAGTTGGTTTAACATTATGAGATATTTTTGTCAAATAGTTCACTCGAATGTCAATATATTTTTCTGAAACACCTTTAATTAATTCAACTAAATGGTTGGTGATATTGTTGTCAAATTGATAAATTTTCAGTGATATAAAAATTTCTTTGTTAATAAATTAGAATCCATCAAAATATAAATTACGGGCCTGGCAGCCCGGTTTCTGATGAATTATGTTCGAGGATGAGACCAAAATAAACAATATTAATTAACTGTATTATTTAAAAAATGAAACTTTATTTTTCTGTTTATAACTGGTAGCAGAACAGTTTCGACACCCATTTACCACGAATTTTACTTTAATACTACTTAATAAATCGATATGTGCAATCCACGGAAGCTCAAATACTAATGACGGCAAAAATACGAACGGGTCTAAATAAGGACTAGATTTAGGTAACACTCGCTTTGCCCTTATTCTGGTTCTATGTGTTCTGTGGTCAAAATTCTTGAAATCAGCATCCAACCTCCTAAAAAAGTATATCTTACCTGTCCACTCTTCTTGACCATAATATTATCTGAATGCCGGTCGGCGATTCCAAGCACATAGGTGGCGACACAGTAGCCGGCGCAGGACAGCGTGAACTCATTTACCGCCTTGTTAAGCTCCGATTCCGTGCTGTTGTTATCTCTTAACCAGTCTAAAATGGGACCCTTTTTGAAGGCGGTCGTCGCCGAAAATATGCCCTTTTCCTTTTGGATGTTGGCTATCGTTTCTGCGTTTAACACCACCTGGATCATGCCGACACGGTGCTCCATCGATATGCAATTGTAAGCGTTCATTCTGCAATTATATTTATTAATTGAGCCCAGATTATATGCAACATAAAAAGCTTGAAATATGAAAAAAGTGTCAAAATATACAACATTAAATAATAAGAAAAATTAATTTTTGTCTTGACATGAAACTTTTTGTGCGCGATAACTAACACAAATAATTTTTTGGAAGGCTTGGTACACTAAGACGACCAACTTAATAAAAAGTCAATGCGGGATATTCTTATGGATAGGGATGATGGGGATTGTAAGTGTGAAGCACTGAGGTGTGACATGCTTGCACTTAAATTAGGAAAAAAACAAACTCACTGAAATCATTATTTATTTTTTTAAAACATATTGATTACGTGAATAACACTTTTTAACTAAATCTTGGTTTTGGTCAAGGATGGCATTAAAATTCAAAACTGACCATATTAAATTTTATAACAAGCATTGCACATAACGTATTGTAACTTTTTTTTACTGTTCGTAGTGTGAATTAAAACACGCACTGGTTTATTAACGAACTAAACTATTTATTTTATAACTTAATTACACTTAAAACACTAAGAAACTAGAAAACTAACTTAACACTTAACTACTAATTATTTATATATCACTGCTGTTCAAGAGTCTATTTATTTGCACGTATATTTATTTATTTACCATGTACCAAAGCTTGGCTGACTGCTCCATGCGGCGCTGTTTCATATATATTCAATGCCTACGTGCATTCCCGAATATTCCAGCGAGATCCGGACCGCTCTCGATCACTCGAGCGCTGACTCACCGGCGATGAGTCATCATTCCGAGATCCAGAGGGGTACTCGCTACAGTATCAACTTTTAATGACGATTTTTTCGATGTCCATAAGACATTCAAGAAAATACTCGTTCTTTAGGTGCATTTGTGCTTGGCAAACAAAGAAGGTACTAGAGTCTAGTACCTTCTTTGTTTCTAGACGATGGCCAGGCAGTTTTTTAACGGTATTTCGCTTTATTTAAAATTTTGGAATTCCTCCATCCATTGTTGTTCTGTACTCTTCTTCATCTCCTTCCTTCTTGTTAGGACATCTCGGTTTACGTAATTTAAAACGAAACTTATTTTGTCAAACAAGCTATCTTCGTTTAAAGTCGTAGCCACTGTAGGCATCTGCGACAACAACTGTTGGTATATCTGCACATTAGCCCGTTTCAGACTTTGTTTTAATTGAATATATGTGTTGAATTTATTTTATTGATTAATATACTTTTGCAGATACGTGATGCAATTGTGATAAAAGTTACGAATATGACCCAAAAAATAATTTCTGGTGATTTTACCACTTTCTACGTAATATTTTCTACACGTACAGTGAATATATTACAAGAACATAACTTTCTCACTGTCTAGCGCCCTACACATATATGAATGTCTTCTGTTTTGGTGGGACAACAAACACTTATTTTTAGAATACAAACCAAGTCATAATTATTGTACACGGACTATGAATTATAAAAATACACTTAAAATAAAATTTTTTATGTTGTTGGTAGACCTGGAGTCATAGACTGTAAGTGATTACATGCGTGATGATGGATAAATTATTGTTCAAGTTTTTTATTTTCTTCCTTTGACGTGTTTTATGTTATATTTTTCTGTTTTTAAATACTTTGTCAAGATATTGAACAAACTTAAAATAAAAAAAATAATTTTTGATACTCTGTAACTCAGGAAAAAGGTTTTAAAGTTTCCGGAAAAATTAAGCCGGCGGGAAAAAACCTTTTTTTCCGAAAAAAAAAACGTAAAAACTGGGAAATTTTCAGAAAAATTGACTTTTGCATTGTTTTCATTTTATTCAAAGGGAAATGAAAAAATGCAAAAATCAATTTTTCTAAAACTACAAATTTTTACGGAAACTGATATCGAGAAAAAAATTTCGCGCTGAATATAATCATAATATTATGATTAAAATAATTATTCCTTTTATTTTAATTCAGTAAGAATATATTCTACCGTGTCGCAAAAAAAACATATTCGGTGCTGTATTAACATAACTTTCGTTTTATTTGACACTTCTATTTATAAAATTATAATTTTGTAATTAAACTTTATTCATCATTCATTATTTTGTAATTGGATATTTTCAATAGACTCCTTTTTCAAAAAAGACCCAACCGACACTATATTTAACGTTTACGTTTATTTTCTTAAATAAATTAAATTTATTTCAATATTAAGTTTTATTTTTTTTATATTAAAGTATTGTTAAGTTGTGTATATTTCGTAAAAAAAATTCCATAAAAGCCCATGAATTTCCGTGTTTTTTTTCGACACTTTAAAACCCTACTCAGGAAGAAAGTATTTTAGGACAATATTGTATAGTAAAGTACAGACTTAGAACAAACTACAGACTGTATAGAATCAAGTAAGTAAGGCTGGAGACAAGGATGACAAATTATATTTTGATCAGAGAAAAAGAAACAAACTTTAATTGGGCGTGGTTTAAACCAAGCCATTCGTAATTACGAACCATAGTTGCCAGGTTGTTTTAAATCAGAAGAGAACGATTATAATTATTTAATAAATAGTTCAATTTTATTTGTTTGAAACTTTAAAAATAACAAAAAAATTAATAATATGTCAAAAATAATTTGGTTTAGTTAATTTTCTTACTTTTAATATTAAAAAATAAGAAAAACAACCCTTTTAGGAAACAATAATAGCATATGGCAACAGCGCGGCATGCAGCCAGATACAAGGGCATGCAGTTTGATCTACTTTGTTCAGTAGCTCTGACCAAAGATAATATATTTGGCTCCGACGTTGTCGTAGGGAAATGTGTATAGTTTTTAAGAAATACATTTTCGCCATTAACTGGAATTTAATGGATTTTAAACAATACTTAGTTTTTATTTGCAGAAATGCATTAAAACAAAACGAATTCGATAAAAATAAAACCTATAAATTCTCAAACAAAAATAATTCTAAAATAACGAAAATAACTTTTTCTAAATTAAATGTTCAAATAGACCACCAGCAGCAGTTAAACAATACCCTAGCCTATCATAAAAATTCCTGCGCACGTTAAACAGCATTTCAGGACTAATATCTCCCAATGTATTAAAGATTTGCACCCTTAATTCATCGAGATTATTAGCCCTGAGCTCTTAAAATCCATAAATTTTCGACTTGACGTATCCCCACAAGAAAAAATCACACGGAGTCAATCCCTACCACAGTGGGCGGGGTTTGGCACTTGTTTTATTTAAGTGTATCTATTAGTTTTAATACACACTGTATAAAGTGACCTTACATAATGTGACTTATTACTTACTTACAGGGGTAAAAATTCCTAAAACTGCATATGCAAACTTTGTTCTTGTTTTAAATTAGTTTTATGTTGAAAACATCAATTTAAAAAGTTTTCAATAGCGATTTTTTAAGAAAAGTTGCAGATAATTTTTATTTTTAGGTCGTTAATGCAATGTTAGGAAGATAAGAAAAACTGTTTACCCATAATAAAAAGAGATAAGTAGGTACATTAGTTAATATTATAGATGGCAGATGCTCGAGCGCTTTGCAAAGCGCTCATAAGTGCTCATAAATTTATAAACGATGAAAAATAAATTTTATAAAAAAAATATTGAAAAAAAAATTCCAACAAAATAGAGGTAATTAAACCATTTTGGAATCGGATAAACCTGCACCACTTTTGTGACCTGCACATGTTCTGATGTAAACAGTAGTTATTTGTTGGTTAATTTATAACCCCGCTTTTTAGCGCCAAATTCAAATATCGAGCACTTTGGTAAATGTTCGAGTATTTATGAGCACTTATGAGCCTTTTGAAAGTGCTCATCCTTCTTTAGTTAATATTATTAGCTTAACAATATAAAAAATGGATAATATAAATTTTTCTAAAACTACAAATTTTTACGGAAACTGATATCGAGAAAAAATTTCGCGATGAATATAATCATAATATTATGATTATAATAATTATTCCTTTTATTTTAATTCAGTAAGAATATATTCTACCGTGTCGCAAAAAAAATATTCGGTGCTGTATTAACATAACTTTCGTTTTATTTGACACTTTGATTTATAAAATTATAATTTTACAATTTAACTTTATGAATCATTCATTATTTTGTAATTGGATATTTTCAATAGACTCCTTTTGCAAAAAAGACCCAACCGACAGTATATTTAACGTTTACGTTTATTTTCTTAAATAAATTAAATTTATTTCAATGTTTAGTTTTATTTTTTTATATTAAAATATTGTTAAGTTGTTGACTTTTTTTTTAAATGTGTATATTTCCTAAAAAAAATATTTTTTCCCAAAAAAGCCCATGCCTTGAAAAACAAATTTCCGTTTTTTTTTGACACTTTAAAACCCTCAGGAAGAAAGTATTTTAGGACAATATTGTATAGTGAAGTACAGACCATACTTAGAAAACACCCTGTATACACCCTGTAAGCTAGTTCTTATATGTGACATATTACTTACTTACAGGGGTAAAAATTCCTAAAACTGCATATGCAAACTTTGTTCTTGTTTTAAATTAATTTTATGTTGAAAACATCAATTTAAAACGTTTTCCATAGCTATTTTTTTAAGAAAAGTTACAGCTAATTTTTATTTTTAGGTCGTAATGCAATGTTAGAAAGTTAAGAAAAACTTTATAAATTCATCTTTTCAGAAATGTTTACCCATAATAAAAAGAGATAAGTACATTAGTTAATATTAAAGATGGCAGATGCTCGAGTGCTTTGCAAAGCGCTCATAAGTGCTCATAAAAGTTCGAGCATTTATAAACGATGAAATATAAATTTTATAAAATAATTATTGAAAATAAAATTCCAACAAAATAGAGGTAGTTAAACCATTTTGGAATTGGATAAACCTGCAACACTTTTGTGACCTGCACATGTTCTGATGTAAACAGTAGTTATTTGTTGGTTAATTTAGTAAATGCTGGGGCTTTAATTTATAATAACGTTTTATACTACCTTAAATCGAGCCCTTCCTGTTTCCACAAGCGGTCCATGATCCTAAGCATTTGCAACGTCAGCATGTCCTGTCTAAGATCGTCGCCGTTTTTAAATATCACGTAAACATCTTCCCCGTATTTATCACAGTTTTCGAAAACGATCCACAACGGTCTCATTTTGCTGTCCATAAACTTGCACTTCTCCACCCTGATCTTCGAACACCTGAAAGTAGGATCGAGCGGACTGCGCAGATCGGACATGGTCTTCATGGTGTCGCTTTCGCTCAGGTACTCCCTCAATACAGCCTTGGCTTTTTCCTTGTCTTTGCGCGCGCGCACAATCTCCGTCGCCTTTTTGAACTTCTCGTGCGCCTCCAATTGCTTCTGCAGCACTGGGATGTGCTCGGGACGCCCCCTGCAGTACGCCTCCAACATCAGACCGAAACGCACAGAGACGGCGGCCACTTGCATCTCGCTGCGCAGATGCCAGAAGATGTAGTGGCCGATTTTCTGGTTGTTTAGGGCGCGCTGGATGAGGAACTTGGTCAGGTCGCTCTCCAGAAAGAGCTCGTGCTTTATGGCTTGCACGAGTTGCAAGAGGTAGAGGAGCAGGTCTTCATCACTACAATGGGGAGTTTGCGTCAGAGTTGCAAAAATGTTAATGGGTATTCAACGTTACTCGATCATTTTTGTCCCGCCCGTCACAATTAAAAATTGTGAGTAAAAACCACAAGTTATTAAATTAATATTTTATTATATTATTTTTATTGTGCTTATAAGCTTATTACAAGCATAATAAACAATATTTTAAAATAAATTTTATAACGTGTGGTTTTTACTCACAATTTTTAATTGTGACGGGCGGGACAAAAATCCCCTAGTAACGTGGAATGATCCTAATGTAAAAAATAATGCAATCGTCATTTTTTAATGGTAATGTAGTTGAATACATTAATCATAAAAAAATTGTAATGAGGAATGTTTTCATTACACATTAAAAAATTAATAAGCAATGTTGAGCCATACATTACTCATTAAAAAATAAAAAATGAGTAATAGAGTCCGTACATTACACATTAAAAAAAAAAGTATAATGAAAGACATTACCCATTACATAAGTAAAAAATAATCAGGGGTAGGGTTGATGGGGTGATTTTTTATACCAAGTCTGAAAGTTTGAAAAATGTTGATTTTCGATTTATTTTATTTTTCGATATTTTTAAGTACCCATTAAAAATCACTTTCTGGTAAAGTTAAGCCCGCTGCATAATAGCCCGGTAACGGGAACGGGAATCCTAACAATAAAGGTGGGAGAGACTAAAAAACCACTGTTGATAGGGTTCGCTGAGTCTCTTCCACCTTTACCGTTTATTTTCCCGTTCCCGTTACCGGGCTGTTGTGCAGCGGGCTTTAGATATTTTTTTGAATACTCGTTTAAAAGGTATCAAATTTTCAAAACAATCGCGTTTTTGCATTCGAATTTTATAGTTTTATAATTTTAATTTTCAAACTTGCAAATTTTTTACGTTAAACTTCTACCCACTTAAGAAATTTTAATCCGGGGTTGATATGGGGAATTGGATTATGATAATTAGGTGAGAAAGCGACCTAAACTCAAAGAAGTATTGAATCCGCGATGATAAGAACGAATAATTAATTTTGAACGTCTGTTAAGGCCCATTTTCAATCAACTCTCGTGTTATAGTGGTAGTCAGAGTGCAAGCTTGCTTTGTGGTTTTGTGATTTGTGAAGTTAATTTTTATATGAACATTTTTTTATGTTTTGGTATTAAATTGATAGTGCAATCGAGAGTTTTAAATTTTGTATTGTGGAAATAGTAAATATATGTATGTACTATGTAGGGATATTTCACGTTACTCGGTAATTTTTGTCCCGCCCGTCACACTTATAAATTGTGAGTAAAAACCAAGTTATTAAATTAATATTTTATATTATTTTTATTGTGCTTTTAAGCTTTAAACAATATTTTGAAATAAATTTTATAACGTGTAGTTCTTACTCACAATTTTTAATTATGACGGGTGGGACAAAAATCCTCGAGTATCGTGGAATGACCCTGTACAAATACTACAAATATAGGAAAAGTTCGTAAATAGACATTTCTCATGTATTTAACCATTTGTTTTTGTTAAGAAAGAAGATTATATTGATTTTGAAGACTGTGAAGTTGTTATTTCATAAAAAAACATAGCATGTCATAGTTTATTTACAGTGCATATAGGTGTTATAGACATAATATACCTAATATGACATTTAGAAAGAGTTCCATTTATTTTTGTTAAGAAAGAAGATTACATTGATTTTGAAGACTGTGAAGTTGTTATTTCATAAAAAACATAGCATGTCATAGTTTATTTATAGTGCATATAGGTGTTATAGACATAATATACCTAATATGACATTTAGAAAGAGTTCAATAGGGTTTTCGTTACACATATTAACAAATAAACTACAACAAAACAAAAAACGCAAAGATAATTTACATAACCCCAAATTTTGACATTGGTATTATCCAATCGCAGCGCCAGCTTATTTGAAATTTGCATGCATGTTCGACACACTCCCACTCTAAAGCTAGCTTTAGAGTTGATTGAAAATGTAGCTTTACTGATAAAAAACCAATTCAAAACAAAAATTGAAAAATTGTGTCATGCATTAACAATATCTTCCTTGTCCACTAAAAATGAGTAGGTAATTCGATAATCATTCATTTCTAATAAAAAAATAAAATGTAGCGTAGGTAAGTGAGACATTACTCTTTCAAATAAAATATGGTAATTGCAAATTTTAAAATACCCATTACAAATTAAAAATGAGTAATGCACAATCCAAAAAACAAGGTCTATCTCGTATTAAAAATACTAAAAATCACTGCAACAATGCTCAGAGATTTATTATCTATGGCTCAGAGCATGCCCTGTGCACTCGCCTTAAACAAACAAAATCCACATTTTTGTCTAGTCGACTTTGGTTTTAGTTTACACTCGAGTTGCATGTGGCAGGAGCGGCGGTTAATCTTGACGGTTGCTTGGTAACGAAATCAACAAACTTCAGTTTGATAAATTTTGTAAAGTTTTGTAAATTCATATTGTGTTTATTTGGTTTTTTCTGTACGCTTAAAAACTTTTATAATTGCGATTTATCGTTATCTGTGTACTCTATTTTTTATATATTGCTACATTATTTGAACATTAACATGGTGTTGTGCTGTGCTGTGGGCTGCTCTAACAGTCAAGTTATGATGCATACTCTTCACAATGATGACAAGCCTTGTCAGACAAGGTTGTATTGTATTATTCAATTATAACTATTTTATTAAAACAAGGTACTTACACAAATGTTGTACATAATATTATTACTTTATACTGATTTGTGTTCTTTAATAAGATAAAATACACTTGAATACATTATTATATTGTTAATTGGTTTAGTTTAGTAAATACCTTGAATAATTTAAAATATAATACAATTATTTTTGCTTTTCAAATATACAATTTAAATAAACTATCAGGCCTTTTATTTTTTACTATTTTGACTGTCAAAATTTGACAGGTCCTGTCAGACAGGATAACCTAAATTAAACCTAACCTAAAACCAATAAATGTCAGGCGGGTACACTAGCGGCATAGCGGGCCGAGTTTGCGTAACAAGGAGCGTCAAATATGTGACAGTGGCGTATCTATATGATTTATTATCTATGGCTCAGAGTTTAACGGCGGCCATTTTTATTGTTTACAATTCTTGTGTTTTGGGTTTGTGCTCTGTTTATACCGATTAATAATCGTTTTAAACGTTGTGTTTCTCACAGGCGCACTTGTAAGCCTTAAAAGGGGCCTTAAAGTGCTAAGAACAACCATTTTACTCCTCTATTGTAAAAAATAAACCTTATTATTTTAGAGCTGTCATCAAACTGTCAAATTAAAATTTTTGGGTTATGGCAAATTAACCTTAAAATTTAAATTTGAAAGTTTGATGACAGCCCTGATAGAATATATTCCCTATAGGGTTTATTTTAAGAGGAGTAAAATGGTTGTTTTTGTACTAGTTGGCATTTTCTCTTGAATTAAAAGTAAGGAGTGATCAAACTAAACCAAACCCAAAGCTCATTATATAGCCCAACTACTCAAGAATTAGATTCTAAAGTATAAAACGTTAAGAACTAACGGCTAAAAAATTACAACTTTTTTTTAAACGTTCCTAACATATTGCATTTGCCCCGAAAAATGGGGCAAATGTGTTAGCGGCTGATTACATTACAATATTAATGTATTTTAAGTGAGTATGGAGCTAATGTAAAACAGGAAAAAATAGGATTATTTTGGTGTAAAATCGTGTAAATCCGTTAATAATCATAAGGTGTGCAAACTTTTTTTTATTTTTAATTTAGGAATTAACAGACTACGGTTAATACAAAAAGGGAAATACGATTTATTATTAAGTACTTAAGTAACCAAGTGGTACTGCGCAGTAGTTGTCGGTATTTCTCTACTTAGATATGCAACAGAAGACAACAGCGTGCGTTTTTATTCGTTTGCTTTTATTTACTACTACAGGTAAGAATTTGATCGCAAGATGTGACATTTACCCCAATCTTACAATTACCCTCATGCAGTGTTGCAGTGTTTATTAGTATATTTAGTACGAGATAGAACAGACCTTGTTGTGTAGATTATGGAGTAATGTAAAAAAAATACATTACTCATTGAAAAAATGCCATGAGTAATTAACTTAATGTTCATTAAAAAAAAAGTAATGCATAATGAAAATTAAACATATTACTAATTATTTTAATATTGAGTAATGTGTTAAAAGAATAATGCATTACTTTCAACTTTGGTTTGCGTTAACAAAAAAGTCATTTTTTTAATTAAAAACAATCTTTACGTTAAATATAACATTGAGGTGTCCAGTGCAAAAACTAGGTTTTCCTAAACAATTAAATTTCTCAGAAGGTAAAAACACGGTCCTATAAATTAACCTAATGGTTTAAACACAATTTTACTTAGCATAGATGTAGTGGATTGCAGCAAGATGTAAATATAAAATTTAAAAAATATATAAATTAATTTATTAAGGGTGATTTTAGAAGAGCGTTTTTCTTACACCCTGTTAAACTTTATTTTTTGAAGATGCCTGGTTCTTGCACTAGACCCCTCACTTGCAATAACAGTTTATTAATTAATAAAATTTTAATAACTTTGCTTTTGCGGTCAAGCAGTTATATTAAAGTCTGTTTTTAGATTTAGAGCAATGTTTGCAAATGTAAAAGATTTGATATGTAACGCATTACACATTAAAATATTAACTGTATCTATAATATTTAAAATTAATTTTAAACATGATAGGGGGTGAATTAAAACTCCTCCATATTTCCTCAAATAAAAAGATCCTTATCGTCTTACCTGACATCTTTGAGGCATTTGACAGCAAAGCTGCGCACTTCCGGATCAGCGTAGGCGTAATCGAGGAGTTCCAAGGATTTTTCGACGGGCAATAGCGGCCATTTTTGCAGCAGCGACGATACTTCGAACACTTCCTCTCGTTTGTCCCAATCTATGCACATCAGCAATTTCGGAAGGACTTCCGGATGGTTTTGCAACCAATATTCGCGCATGTACCATATGTTCTTTCGGTCTTGTTCGTGGATCTGCAAAAATAACGTAAATTTAGTTTAACAGACATTGGACCAAACTCTTTGGTTTTATTATTTTTAATGTTGCCACTTGGCAACATACTTTTATAAATCAACTTTAGAAGTTGGGTTATGGTAATTTTAACACTTTTTTTCTGTAAAAGTTTGTTATTCTAGTAAATTAAATAAATTAACGTTTTGGAAGTTAAGAATTACTATAAGTATTACAATATAACATCTTCATAGTGTGCTATATATTTACATTAATACATTTTATTTGTAAATTCCACTTATGCTTTAATGCCAATCAACAACTACATTATAGACCAGGCGGAGTAAGCACATATTATCGCCGAGCAAACATTTCACTGCCGAGGCGATAGCAGAGGCAGTAGATTGCGTGCGAGGCAATTAATAAGCTTTTGCCGCAGAGTTTTATAAACTATTTTTTTAATTAAAAAATTTCTTAAGATTCTGTCATATCATTTTTAGGTCAGGTTTAACTGTAGTTATTATTAAACTTCATATAGAAATAAAGCTAAATAGTATATTCTGTACCAAGTTTGGAATACAGCATATTCCGCTCGAGTGAAAAGTTTGTCACACGAGCCAAAGGCGAGTTTGACGGTTTCACGAGAGCGTTAGATAATAAACACAGAGATGTGCCACAAGTGTTTATTCCGTCATCCAGTGATAAAATGAATTCATTCTGTAACACTTAATATATGTAATTCTGTAATAGGAATAGAAAAAGTATATTTCGTTTCTTATTTGCTAATCTCAGTTAACCTGTCAGTAATATCATTTATTTAGATTATTTGAATGCTTTAGTTTGATTTTATATCTCACCTATATTTACCCCATCATCGCTATCCAGACCCGAAAATTTTTCCCAGTATATCAAAGCATTTTCTGATAGTTTTTCTCGTCTACTCATTCTGATATATTATATCAGAATGAGTAGACGAGAAAAACTATCAGAAAATGCTTTGATATACTGGGAAAAATTTACGGGTCTGGATAGCGATGATGGGGTAAATATAGGTGAGAGTCACAGTGTGGAAGATCCAGTGGTGTAATTTGGGGGTGGCAGTTTTCCCCTCAGAATGGTCTATCCAGTATTTTGCCACCCCAGAATTTTGAAGTAATTTTATTTATTATAAAAATAGATATTATGAATTTGTAACTGTCAGTTTCACGACAATTTCTATTTTTTTAATATTATTTATTTGTATATTTTGTGTTATACCTTATAAATACAGAACTAAAAATAGTGTGCCCCGAAAATAGCGCTCTAACAATATACCACTATGCTATTTTTGGCTTATTTTGGGTACGAAAAAATAACAACAAAATCCGTCAAATAGTTTTAAGAATTGATATAAGAGTTTAAGAAATGAATTTAATTTTTGTTTTGAGGCTATTTATATAATAGAAAAAAATAGAAAACAATTTAATAAACACGTTTCAAATATAAAAAGTTACAATTTATTAATAACAAAGTTATTTTAAAATATAGTCTAAATTTTTTGCCACAAAAATTACATGGCAAAGAAAATACCTTGGAAAATACATTTCGACTTGGACTACCTTGGAAAATACATGTTAACTTGTTTCTTACATCGGCTTAGAAAATACAAAGCGTTGTCGGTATTTTTAAGCTTTAATTAATTACTATTAATAGGGATGTGTTCTTTCAAATGTCAAAGTAGACCTTTTTGATATGAAACATATGTTACTTACCTCGCAAGAATTGTCAATTTCTTGTAAGATTTTTTTGCAATTTTCAATATCAATGGCGTTAGGAACTATGGGGTTAATGTCTATCTTTTCATAATTTGAATTTGAGTCAGATGGTACAAAAATAAATTGAGAATCTTCGGAATAGCTAAAACAAAAGAGAACAAAATTTACTCTACATATACATAAAAGAAATGGTATAAATACAGAAAATAAAATATTAGAAAAATATAAATTTTGTAAATACCATTTTTTGACAATATTTAATTAATTTTTTTTACTCCCACCTGTAAAAGGCCCTTTATCGTACATGTTTCCATGACACTAAGTGACCTTTTAAATACACATTGACAAGTTGTGGCTTTATGGCGCTTTAGTCACGGGCTGAAGTTAGCAACAGGTTTTTAGTCACGGGCTGAAGTTAGTTTTAAGTTAGTTGACAGTTGTCAAATGTCAAACAATCGTTAAAATAAAGTGCATTTCTTGTAAAATAATACTAAATGTAAAAATTATTTTATTTTTTCAATACAAAAATACAAAAGTATTAAATAGTTTCTCAACGCCAATATTTGAAAAGTTTATTGTACTGACCTTTTAATTTCGCCGGCAGTAAACTATAACTTAAATTCGGGCACGGACTCGACTGTAAAGTGCTCATTAAACATTTTCTTTACTTTCACTGTGAAAAACTGTCAATTTTCAAGAAATACATTTCGATTTATAACCTATATAATCTCTGTTTATAAAAATTTGACATTGGACCGTGACACACAGATCACCCTATTGTTTCATAGATGGCGCTCTATACAAATTTTTGATTTAAGACATTTTAAGATAATAATAACTATTTGTCGTAGAAAAAGTATAGTATACACCTTGTTTATAAACTATTCTATACCCTCATTAATTTAAGCACTCGCTCGTGCCTAAATTAAATTCGTGTATAAAATGGCGTTTATCAAACTTGATACATAATATACTAATATTTAATTCATTATTTTTATATGTTTAACATTTTTAGATTATAAGGCACCACTTAAAATAAACTAGGTATTTTATCAAATTAGTTTATTTCTGGTTATTTAATCAAGCTGACTTACCTTTTTTTAGATTGATTTTTGTAAATTAATTTTTGTCATAAATTGTAATAATTACAATTATTGTAATTATTACAATTATTGTAAATTTATATTTTTAAACTAACAAGGGCTTTGCAAAGCGCTCATAAATGCCCGAGCATTTATAAACGCTAAAATATAAATTTAAATATTATAAAAAATAATAAAAAAACTGATTTTTATTGTAAAAAAGTACTCCATATTTCAGAAATTGGAAGTAGCTTTTTTTGTTTTTAAGTTTTATTAAAAAAACTCCGAACCTTAGTTTAATTTCTAACCATTTTGGAATTGGATGTTCGGATGTTAACGACGTTGTTATTTGATGGTTATGTTATAATCCTGCTTTTATACTATTATTTAGTAAGAAAATATAAATTTAAATACAATATCGAATTTAATAATAAAAAAATTACAAAAATGTTGATCTAAAAAAATTAAAACTCCAAGAAGATAAAATAAAATGGCTTGAAAAAAAATAATATCTTAAATAATGACTTCAGAAATCTACTACTGATTTGTTTAGTGAGACACCCGGTATAGCGAAAATATATAAATAAAACACCAATAACCGGCGTTCGCTGTCGCACCTAGTGATGCCGTGATCTGGTTGGTTTATTGCTTCCTAGAGATAATTTTCAAGTCGCAAATTTCTGTAGTAACTTACGTGTAAAAACTCAAGGTCAAGGATGTGGCGTAGCCGGTGTTCGGATTACTGACTACCGTCCCTAACGGTTGAAATCCTTCGTCTGACATCATATCCTCAGCAAAATTCCAAAAATACAAAGTCATTGAACCAGTTCTAAGTTGATTTTTAAAATCGTACACAGTAGTATTGGCCCACGCTATCGGATTATCCTTTGCCGATTCCTATGCATAAACAAAACACAGTTTCATAATGTAGTCAACAATAAATGACGTTTTAAATGTTAAATTGAAGAGATCTTAAAAACCAATTTACCTTAATTTTTCGATTTTTGGTCCCCTTACTGTACTTGTTGACTTCATAGACCACAAAACACAGCTTTGCGTTGCGAGGTATGTTGCACACGTCAATGTCGAAAACCAATTCTTGATGAAAGGTGGTCTCGAAACTTTCATTGATTTGGCGATCGTCGGTTTTTTGCGGCTGACACAGCGATTTGCCGCCGTGAAACAAGCCCACTTGAATGCCAACCTTGAAAAACAAAACATGAATAAAATACTGTATTTTGAATACGCTAAAGAAGTATCGGGTTTTTGCAACGCGCGCGCCATCTGGCGGACTTCGATAGCATTGCGTGAATTTAAGAATTGTTAACAATACATTTAAAGCAAAGATTATACATCATTTTTAAATAAATAGGTTGTTTTTTTACAAAAGAAAGGAAGGCAGAAGTCTTACTCGAGAAATTTTATTCAATTGCACAGCTAAATCGCGCACGTTATTTGTGTTTTACGTTGCAAGGAAAAAATTAAAAAACTTTTTTAGTGCTCGATTTTCATTGATTATTCCTTATATGATTGATTAAAAAAACTCAACGCTTAAATTCTTATATAGTTACGTTAGTGTGTGTATTTTATCTAAGGGATCATGGTGAATTATTGTGTTTTTAATTATAAATAAAATTCAAGAACTAAACCGTTGCATTTTCATATTTTGCCAAAGGATCCAATTCAGTAAGTACATTTGTTGGTGCAGAATTAACTAATGATAACTTTACCTAATATAATTTATATTTAAGTTTGGAAATTTTTAAGAAATTAGTATAAATAATTTTTGCACAAACATAACCTTAAAATCAATAATTTTTATATTTGAATTCTCTAAAAAACGCCGACAACTGCATTTTAAACAACAAAATATACCTACGAATTCATGGCAACATAATATTATATATAATACATAATATAATGGTATTTTACCGTTGAGTGGAGACTTTAAAGAATTCTGAATCAACGCTTTTAATAATGCTAAATGCTGTTTAAATTTAGATGACTTATTTGTTTGACGATTTTTACTAAATTGAAATATTTACCCTTTTCACTAAATCACTACTAAAATGTGTATTTATTGTATCTTATAGGTACAATTTATATTTACAGAGACTGTATGCAATTTATTTCTTCATTCAGATTAACACTGTTTATTGGAAAACCGGTAAAAACTCAACCCAGGATTTCCTCTCGAAATACACCCAACAACACAACAAATTGAGCCACGGTTTTTTTTTCGATATTTTTTAACATTTTCCGGCGTTATTCTCAAAAATACTCGTTTGTAACCTAAGCGTTTGACAGCTGATTATTAAAAGTTATACTTTTGTTACGATGATAACAGCCGAGTGGTGGCGCTACTAGCGATACTTCTTTAGCGTATACTTTTGAAGAAGACTTTTTTCACTCACCTCTGAAACTTTTTTTGGGTCGCAATTTAAACGGCTTACTGTATACAGGGTGCATCTAAATGGTTCTTCTATGTTCAATGATGATTTATATTTGCCTTTTTTTCTTAATGTTAAAGTTGAATATGACGGTTTTGGTTTATTTTCGTTGATTTCAAATGAAGGATTGTTCAACTTGATTACTAGAAAATAACATATATACCATATATGAGATTTACTACTAAATAAAATTCAAAATCTGTTATTTTACTTACGTGGAACTGAATCCTTGGAAACCATAACCAACATAGGAATAATTTCTCTAGACAGTGAATCCTGAATATACTGAAACTGCACAATAGGATAATCTCCTACAAAATACTCATCTTGTCCACAAACTTTCAACACATAATTGTCAGCCTTATCATTTTTATCCTTTAAAATAATTGCCTTTTTGGCCAAAATCATCTCTAGCAATCTATAGGGTACAATAAGAGGTGAAACACTAAAAGTATGAGAACTTTGATATTTTTCCGACACTTCACTATGCTCGACTGCTATTTTTGAAGCTATGTTAATGTTTTTCATTGAATGTAGAATATCTTTGTAAATAAGACTGGTTTTGTCTAGTCTAGGCGGAAATTGATACATTAATCGTTCTTCCCATGATTGATGGTGGGAATCTATAGCAATATCTTCTGCCACTTTACGCATTTTAAACCGAAAATCATTTACTTCACTGCTACTTAACTCATCAAACTCATGCAGACCTAAAAACCCAAAATAATAATATTTATATCTATAAATAAAAAATATGAAATAAAACTTAATTTCAAAATAAAAAGCAATCTTGGCATCATATGAATAAGGCAGAAAATCCCTTCTTGGAGGTAATTTTGAATTTTTCGACACTTGATGGAGAATTAAGATTAGGTATATTAGATACATCTGTCCCTAACAGTAGCATTGAGGTTAGTTATCTGTTACTGACAGTAGAATTGAGGTTTGGTACATAACCTTTCAAACATACATATTTAAAGTGGACGCGTGTTAAAATGTGGACAAAAATGAACCAAAAAATGGCCTAATTTTATTATAAATGAGATCATTCTTAATAAATACATTTGCTTAATTAGGGACTGGTTTACCAGATACTGATTAAATACTGAATTACTGTAGGTTTCATAGAAATCCAGCTTTAAACAATTCAGATGAAAATTCCACGTTTCATATCTTTAAACAACTCTCCCTCAAAATCAGGTTTTTGACCTTAAATCTGAGTTTAATATTTTTTACACAAACTCATAAAATACATGATTTACGTATTTTACATTTGTGAACCATGTCAAACTCAGTTGCCTTATTTGATTTGTTTCCGTAATTTTTTATATAGAGGGGGACATATAATAAGAGGAGAAATTTGCTTACATTGTAGTGAACTATCATTCCCACCAAGGAATGACAACATTACATGAAAAACTGTATAAAATTACGACCTTCATAAGGCCATCTACCAAGACCAAGAAGTATTTAGAGACTTCTTGGTCTAGACATACCTAAATTTAATTTAAATGTTCAGTAAATAACCAATTCATAATATTATGCATTTGACTTACGTTTGCCAATAATATGTCCTATTTGTGTATTTAAAACATCCTCAGCAGAATCTTTGTATTCTGTTATAATTAAAACACAAGCTTGAGGTTTTATATCTCTAATTTTCTTGGTTTCATCTGTTAAATGTTCTCTTTCAGACATATGATTAATACACATGAATTTATATATAGACACATCATGTAGTTTGCCATATAAAGGATATTTGGCTGCTTCTTCCCATAAATCCTAAAATATAAATAAAATAAATCACCTGTGTGCTATTTATTACAATATAAACAAACTTCTTTTATGTCTGCTAGTGTATCTTCATCATGGCATTGTAGTAAAACAAAAATACCATTAGGGAGCAAGCAACTCAGCTGAATTTCATGTTTATTATCCTTCCAGAAATCTGGATTATACTCCAATGGAGTAGGAACCATGTTTTCTATTATTTACTTCCTATAACTCAAAATAAATGATTTAACACAGTTCTCAAAAAATAAGTTTGAAAGCAACTTTTCACATAACTTCACTATTTTGATTAATACAATCCACATGACACATTATACTTTGAAAACCACAATAAAACTTTCTGAGAAATTTTGTTTGTCGGCTGAGAATCACGCCCAAATAACATTACATACTTGTTATTGTAAATAACCGAGAAAAATATTTTATAACTGATAATCGTCAATCCACCCATTAATAACAAACAATGCAGCCAACATCGCAAAACTTCAAATAATTTTGTTTTGAACGGTGATGTTGACACAGCAAAACCAACGGGCCTAAACAGAACATATAAAATAATTAAAGCAATTGCAATGGTTAAATTTAAAACAGATAACTATTTAAAGTATATTTTTATTCATTTAATTGTGTTTACTTAATTTATTTAAAAGTTTATTTTTAAAATAAAATCGCTTTTGTTAAGTTGGCACCAACTTTTCATTTATTCAGTTGGTTGTAATTTACAACTTGTAAATAAAAAAGATTGTTGGCAGCGCATTGACGTGACGTGGGGTTACTTCTTGGAAAAATCTCTTTGAATTTTTTAAGGTAATATGTTTGACCACTCGATTAAAGTCCCGCGTTTGTATAAAACTACAGCTAAAATTTATCGGCAAGTTAAGGAAGGAACTGGCAGTCTCAAGCAGTTGGTGTATGAAAAAAAGCATCCAGTAAGTTGAGGTTATGTTTTGTTGTGAACATGACCACGTCTTTTTTGTTTGTTTTAGAATATAAAAGCCATATACGCTTTGGTGGTAGAAGCAATACACAGAGATTCCGAGCTAAATAAATTAATTGAAAGGTCTGAGATATTGAAAAAAGAACCCAGATTTGATCCCTGGCTGGCAAGAATTCTTATAACTGAATTATTATTTGGAAAATTGAAACTGCCAGGAGAATCAAAACCAATTAAGACGGTTTTAGCTTATGAACAAATATTTAAAGCACACAATAGCGATATTGTCATACCCAAATCATCAGAAGTAAACCAAGGTAATAATTTTGACTTTCTATTTTTACAGAGTTTATGATGGCTGAGAATACTGTAGTTCAAAGTGATTTCCAACTGCCTTCACACACAAAACAGGCTGCAAAGGCAATGGGTTTGCTGCTGTTTTTCAGTTTCCTTATGTTTTCTTTGCCATTTGGTGTGTTTTTTGGAGTCCGGCATTTTTGTAAAGAATCCTTAGAGTTAGAGCAATATGTATGTACTGTATGGGCTGTGTTGGCTGCTGTTGTTACTGTTAACATTATTATTGCTGGTTATGCTTACATAGCTTATCATGATCCAGAATTTGATGCTGATGGAAATCCAATTGAAACTAAAAAGGAAACCAAATCAAAAAAGAGTGACTTAAATTTAAAGAAAGATTAATTTTACCAGTATTATGTACATAATTCCACTATTTTGTGATCTTTTTTATTCCAAAATGTAAATAAAATGTAGTGATGTAGTAAAGTATTGTTAAGTATGCTATAGCAATAAATTATGAATTGTATAAAATTGACTTTTATTTTAATCCCTACATTTTATTTATTTTTTACCTACATTCTTGTATTGCTGACATAAATTATTGTTTTAGTTAATAAACCAAGATATGTCAGAGTAAACACTCTATCTTGCACAGTAAATGAGGCTATTGAAAATTTTTCAGAAGAAGGTTGGGTTCTAAGTAAACATCTAGACAACAAAGACTATACAGGTTTTCTGGAAAAAATAATTCAACTTAATGAAGATGAATTTATACCAGACATACACATACCAAATCTACTAATATTTCCAATAAAAACACAATTTTACAGACATCCAGCATATAAAAATGGACAAATTATTTTACAGGACAAGGTAAACAGAATCCAAAGGTTTTTTTATAAAATGATTGATTTTATAATTTTAAAAAATGTTGGGCTTCTTTGTGGGGTCAAGGAAATTTTAACCATAAATTAAATTAATTAAATAGGTACATATTAAGGGCATAATATCAGAGAAGTATATGCGCCAAAATAAAAAATTTACTGGAGAAGATAATTTTCAGACACACATTGCTTAGGCCTATCTAAAAATACCACAAAATATTTATAAAAATGGAACTTTGAAAAGTTTTAATCTCTATGTAAAAGTTTTCATTTAGGAAATTTAATTAATTTAATTACATCAAACAGTGTTACACCAATTTTTTATAAAATAGATTAGAATAATTGGGAAATAGTTTTAAACATAAATAATAAAAAATAAATAATAAAAATCCCAGAAAACGATTAATAAAAGTTATTTAGGCCTACACACAATCCACACAATAAGGTCTGTTCTATATCGTTTCGCGCATAATAAAAATCACTGCACAGAATCTAACGGCGCGCCGTGGCGGCCATTTTTATGTTTACAATTTTTGTGCTTTGGGTTTGTGCTGTTTATACAGATTAAAAATCGTTTTAAACGTTGTGTTTCTTACAGAGGCACTTGTAAGCCTCAAATGAGGCCCTAAAGTGCTAAGAACAACCATTTTACTTCTCTTTAAAAGATATATTTAAGCAAAATCCAAGCGACAAATTATCATTTTTGAGTTGTGTAGCTATACAAAGAAAGACTTGAACTGTTGCCTTTTTATTATAGCAGCCCAGCAGATAAGACCTGAAGATGGTACATGAGATTGTACGGAGCAGATCCCGAAAAACCACTAACCTACATATAACGCCCGTGGGAACCTATATATACCTACACTCACAGGCAAAATAATCGATCCACACAAATTTTCGATGAATTTCAATTGCAAATAACTTTTTTATTTGATGTCGGATTTTAACGAATATTAAAGAATATTGTAGATAAATTAATGGACAATCCCCCACATTTTAAAAAATTACTAAAAAATAGACGTACGTTTATAATATACAGGTTTAAACAAAAAGATGTTTTTTACCATAAGTTTAAGACACTCTGTAGAGTGGCAAAACCGTATATTGTTCTAAATTAAGTTTTATTTATCAAATCACATCTATTCTTAACAGTTTTGTTTTTGGTTCACCTCGATATATTTGTTTTAGTGGAAAATATGGATTTTTTAAAAAACATTGCAATTTCCAATATTTTTCTGTAAAGAGCTAAGGTTGCTATGGTCCATCCATAGGCTATGGAGAATGACAGTGACAGTTTTGTTGAATCATCCCATACTTGGACATGTCATACACGGCTTTCAAAAGCTATTAAATTGTTTTTTGCAAACGAATGTTTAAATTTTGAGGTGTCTTCTTACTTTAAAAAATGGATATGTCTCCGACTGATGTTGTCAGAGCCATTAATTTAATCCAGGATGGACGGTCACAGTATTAGGTGTCAAGTGTTTTAAACGTCACAAGAAGTAAAGTACAAAGGGCAACATCAGTCGAAGACATTTTTAAACATAAGAAGACACCTCAAAATTAACACATTAATTCACAAAAAACAATTTGATACCTTTTGAAAGCTGTATATGACATGTCCAAGTATGGGTAACAAAACTGTTACTGTCATCCTCCATAGGCTATGGATAGACCATAGCAACCTTAGTTCTTCATACAGGAAAAATATTGGAAATTGCAATGTTTTTTAAAAAAATTCATATTTTCCACAAAATTAAATATATCAAGGTGAACCAAAAACAAAACTGTTAAAAATATATGTGACTTGATAATTAAAACTTAATTTAGAACAATATACGGTTTTGCCACTCTACAGAGTGTCTTAAACTTATGGTACATGTTTCCATGACACTAATTGACCTTTTAAATACACATTGACAAGTTGTAGCTTTACGGCGCTTTAGTCACGGGCTGAAGTTAGCAACAGGTTTTTAGTCACGGGCTGAAGTTAGTTTTAAGTTAGTTGACAGTTGTCAAATGTCATACAATCGTTAAAATAAAGTGCCTTTCTTGTAAAATAATACTAAATGTAAAAATTATTTTATTATCCCAATACAAAAATATTAAATAGTTTCTCAACGCCAATATTTGAAAAGTTTATATGAACATTGTACTGACCTTTTAATTTCGCCGGCAATAAACTATAACTTAAATTCGGGCACGGACTCTACTGTAAAGTCCTCATAAAACATTTCCTTTACTTTCACTGTAAAAAACTGTCAATTTTCAATATCCATTTCGATTTATAACCTTTATATAATTGTGTTTATAAAATGTAAAAATGTGACATTTGACAGTTTCCCCTGTTGTTTCATAGATGGCGCTCTATACAAATTTTTGATTTAAATGTTTTAAGATAATAATAAGTATTTGTCGTAGAAAAAGTATAGTATGCACCTCGTTTATAAACTTTTCTATACACTCATTAACTTAAGCACTCGCTCGTGCCTAAATTAAATTCGTGTATAAAATGGCGTTTATCAAACTTGATACATAATATAGGTACTATTTTGTTTAAACCTGTATATTATAAACGTACGTGTATTTTTTAGTAATTTTTAAAATGTGAGCGATTCTCCATTAATGTATCTACAATATTCTTTAATATATGTTCAAATCCGAAATCAAATAAAAAAGTTATTTGCGATTGAAATTCATCGAAAATTTGCGTGGATCGATTATTTTGCCTGTGAATGTATATATAAGGTTTATAAGGTTTATTTTTACCAAAAGAGAAGTACAATTGTTCTTCTTAGCACTTTAATTAAAGCCTCATTTGAGGCTTACAAGTGCGTCTGTAAGAAACACGTTTATTAATCTGTATCAACAGCACAAACCGAAAGCACAAGAATTGTAAACAACATAAACATGGCCGCCGTTAGATTCGGTGCACTGTTGCAGTAATTTTTAGTATGCGTGAAATGAGATATCTCATTGTATATACAAATATCTTATTTTATATACAAATGTTGGGTGGATCGTGTGTAGGCCTATATACCGGTACAGTGGCGGACACAGAATTTTGAACATCATAATTTGGTTGTCCATGTATAAAGCTTTAACAGTTAATTAACCTGCAAATTTGCTTAAGATACAATATTGACCATTTTTGCTTTCGCTGTCAAAATGACAAGACTACAGTCTGTTATCACTAAGAGATAAGGTTAGTTTTCCATAGAGAAAGTTTAGATTTTGATGTCAACGAGATGATGGTCGTTCAAAATTCCGTGTCCGCCACTGCCAAAGCCAAATGCAATTTTTCTGCAAATAAAACCCAATTTCACATTGTAATTGTAGGCGAGTTGTCTGCCGGTGCACATCTTGGCTCCACCCCCAGGTAGTGTTGTTCTCGACATGTGCGCAGCGCCCGGCATGAAAACCACGCAGGTTGCTGCGATTTTAAACGACCAAGGCTTGGTATACGCCGTGGAAAAAGACGAACGACGGTTCAAAACTCTGGAAAAAATCGTGGAATCGTCTAAAGCAACTTGTATAAAATGCTTTAACAAGGATATATTGACTTGCGATAACGAAACTTTCCCAAACGTCGAATACATTTTAGTGGATCCAAGTTGTTCTGGATCAGGTAAGATAATTTTTACTACTGGGAGTTGTTTTGAAATTTATGAATTTAGTTTCTATAACCAATCAGAGCACTGCGTTTTGGTTATTCACATTTAAACCACTTTCTAAAAAAGTAGGTAAACTAGGAAATTTTAAGAAACATCCTGCAGACACTTTAATTAAACTTATTTTGATGTTTATTTAGGTCTTACTGACAGATTAACGGTGGAAGAAAAGCAAAGCCAATTTCGACTAAACAAATTGGCCGGTTTTCAAATAAAAATCCTGCGCGCTGCTCTGACGAGGTACCCCAATGCTAAGCGGGTTGTATACTCAACTTGCTCCACCTATCTTGAAGAAAACGAAGATGTGGTGAGACAGGTGCTGGAAACCAACTTGAATTTTAAGTTGGTAGAAGCCAAACAGTTTGTTAATAATGCCTGGTTGAATTTTGGCTCGGAAGATTTCGGAGAAATGGGTAAATTTTGTTTGTACGCAAAGCCTGAGTTGGATTTGACCAACGGTTTTTTTGTCGCTGTATTTGAGCGGGTTCAGGAGGGTGAAGAAAATATGTTTTTTAATAAAAAAAATTATAATTATAAAAAATATGAGCAGGATAAGAAAAGAAGAGGTAATTTTAATGATGAAGAATATGAACAAGAAAATACTATAGATGATGATCCAAAAACTCTTGAAGAAAAACCCAAAAGAAGAAAGAAAAATAAATTAATTTCAGAACAAGAAATACCTGAGGAAAACAATGGTATAGTAAAAGCAAATCAAAAAAATGTCATAAATAATGACGAAGAAATTCTAGAAGAAAGACCCAAAAAGAAGAAGAAAAACAAGTCCATTTCAAAAGAAATAACAGAGGAAAACAATGAAATAGTGGAATATAAAAAGAAAAAGAAGAAAAAATCAAAACATCTCAAGGAAGAAATTTTGGAAGAAAAGTATGAGGTTGTTGAAGAAATACAAAATGAAAAACAGAAGATTTTGAGAATTAAAGATAATGAACAAATCCAAGAAACAGAGGAAAAACACAAACCAAAAAAGAAAAAATCAAAAAGTGTAGATGTGGAAGAAACTGAACTAAAAGATCCAGAAGGTCCTAAGAAAAAGAAGCACAAGAAAAAAGATAAAGAATAATTAAGTATTATTATTATTCAAATGTTTGTATAAATTTTACTTTTTATATAGGTATAATGTTTTCTTAAAATGCGTTTTATTTATTTTATAATATACATTGTAGAAAAAATGCTGGATGACAAATAGTACATTACATAGATTAATCTTCACACTCTTCAGAATCTGAAGTTCAGATATCCCTGCATTATGCCGGAGTGAATTTGAATGATTTATTATTTATTTTTTGGTTTTGCCTAAATAACATTTACCAGTTAAATTTTGGTTCTTTGAGTAATTACCCAAAATTTGAGGACGCAGAAATAAGAATTCCTATATTCGACTTTTGCTGCCTTTTGAGAGATGAAGAGAAAAAAAATCGGTAATATTTACGCGTTTCTAAAATCTATCCTTTAGCGGAGGGGAAGTTAACGCATAAACAAAAATTCAGTCGTATTTACCAATCTAAAGACAATTAAAGAAGTTAACTTTCCCTGTAGATATAAAAGGCGAGTTGTCTACTTTCTCCTGAAATTCGACATTTTCGCATCGCTTGAAAGGCAGTCCAATTTTCTCTGCGAATATGAAAATATAACAGAATATATTGGAAGATAAATAAAAGACATCCAAATCCTAATATTTTTTTTACCTGCCCCAAACTCAAAATTTTTGGTGGGACAATATTGTCCCAAAGGGCTCTAAACTCAAAATTTTGGTTGGATAATATTGTCCCAAAGGGCTCTTCATCTCTTTGAAATGAAGCCACTTAAAACTTTTATTTTTTTCCAAACGCGTACCTACATAAAATGAACAAGAAAATGCATAATAAAACAAATAAATTAAAATAAAACTTATTTTATACATGAAAAACAAATAAGAAAACGTATAAAATACAAATAAAACTATACATAAATACCTCTTCTAAAAATGTGTGTAGACTTAAGTCTAATTATTACGCATATTTTTTATATTTTGTCAAATATCTTCCAAGCCGAAATAGGCATTACTTTGAAACTTGTAGATATTATTACAGAAAACCTTGTAGAAATAGGATAAGTTGATGTATTTTAGCTAATCATTTAAAACTAATTGCAATTTTTTTCTAAACTTTAGGGTAGATGCCCCGGTTGTGGCCATCGCACCGTTTGTGGCCATCCACAAAATAAATCTTAAATATTAACGGCCACTTTCAAACTAGCCAATAAGACAATCTAAAATCCCACTCCTTCCCACACGGAACAATTACATCCAATGGATATCCAATGGATTTCTTTTATGGATATCCAGGATATACATAGGATATCCGGGATATCCAATGGATAACCATTGGATATATAAATGTCCGACCCTCCTGGACATAGTGTGGATATCCAATGGATACCCAGTGGATATAGTATTGTATGCAATATGGTTGTCATCTGTATTGGATATGGTGAATCAATGGATATTTACTTTTCAATAAATAACATTGGGTTTTAAAATAAAAGTCTTATTCTTTAATTTAAATATTTATTTTTATGAAAACATAAAATAGAACAGAAAACTACATATAACTAAAGAAGTGAAGTCTCTGGCTTGCCATCACTCCTCCAGCTGTCATTTTGCCTTTTTATCAGCCTAATCATTTAGGGCCTATTTCACCTGTCTCCTTATGATTCCCAAAATTTGGCCAATCCATCAGCCCATTTGTTACCCTCGAGCCTATGTATAGCTTGCAAATAAAAATACGGTATATAAATGCATGCATGTATTCACCTTTAATGTTTTACCTTCAATGCTAACCGAAAGTTTATAAATGGCACTTAAATATACCTATTTAATTTAAAATTGTATTAGTTTTAGACCAATACAATTTAAAATGATAACTATGATTAGAAAATTAATAAAATATTCACTTACCACTAGAGACCTCAAACAAATAACCACAAAACACAATAACTTGGCAATAAACTTTATGACAAACATATAACAAATAGCAATGATGGCGAATGAACCTTTACAATCTGTGGAATGAAGCAAATAAACATGAAAACCCTTTGGATGTACCTAACAATCATGGCATCATATTTAACGGACGCTACCATAGAAAAAGGACGCTTCTTTATCTTCTGTTCGGCAGCAGTCACTGCTGAGCAGTGTTGTCAGACGTTTAAATAATTTCAGAAAGCTCATCAAAATGGCGGTTATATTATTAAATCTTTAATACTTAATTAATTAGTATATCTAGTATACCTATTTGACATAAATGTGGTGAATAATTATTTTAAATTTATTTAATTTATTTATTAAAACTTAATAAAGTACGGAAATATATTTCGTTTAGTTATTTTGCTTATAACCGGCAACACTGAAGATTCTCAAATTCAGCGCGTGCGTAGTACTATGAAATACAATAATAAACAAAAGGGACTTTTTTAAGTAATTTTTTATTGTATTGCAGACTATCATAGTCATATTATTAACAGAAATAATATTATTAATATATAAATATTATTATCTGGGTAAAGTGAACATTTCAAAATTAAAAATTTCGTAGCACTTGGCAAAAAATCAATTTACCGTAAAGTTGTTTTTTTTACATATGCTAGTTTAAACCATCACAAAATCCCACATGTATACATACAAGTATATATACAAGGTATCCATATCAGTTATCCACCGGATATCCAGTGGATATACATTAGATGTACAGTGGATATACTTTGGACATACATTAGTTATCCATTGGATATATATTAGAGATACTTTGTTGAAATTGGGTTAATAACGATTTAAATCATATTTATTAATCATTACATAAATTTATCCTATAAGGGGCTATTTTAAAAAAGAAAAAAATATTTTTAATGTTTTTGTTTTTTTTTGAACATCCAGTATGGATATCCATTGGATATCCAGTGGATATACATTAGATGTACAGTGGATATACTTTGGACATACATTAGTTATCCATTGGATATATATTAGAGATACTTTGTTGAAATTGGGTTAATAACGATTTAAATCATATTTATTAATCATTACATAAATTTATTCTATAAGGGGCTATTTTAAAAAAGAAAAAAATATTTTTAATGTTTTTGTTTTTTTTTGAACATCTAGTATGGATATCCATTGGATATCCAATGGATATCGTAAAAGGCATGGATGTTATATGGACATTGGGATAGCCATTGGATATCCATTGGATAGCGTGTTCTGTGTGGGTTATTGTATTATGGATCGTGCCAGTGCTTTACATTGCGTTTGTCAGTTACAGTGTTTGTAAAACAATCGGTTTTTTTAACACGTGGCGGGAATGTTGTGATTTTTTAGGGATTTTGTTAAGAAACACGAGGTAAGTTAATGCATGATTCTGTGTAAGAATTTAAATGTTTGTGTTCAAAGTGGATGATATTTGACTTATAAAGGAATTTTACATGTTATTTTAACACTTTGAAGAAGATATTTAACTCATAAATAATTAAATTAATAGTGGCCACAATAGGAGCATCAAAAGTGGGTTCTGCGCCAGTTGTGGTCTTTAAATGGCTACAAATGGGTCATGAAAACCAGTTGTGGCCATGCAGTAGAAAGAGATGGCAAAATGTAAAACTAAACAAGGTAGAAAAGGGGCACCTAACAGCCTTAAATTAATTTGTTTCAGAAAAATTATGGCACTGGATGGTAAAAGAAGCGATTCCGAAAAGTGGGTCCAACATGTTCTCTTGGCCCAAAAATAGAATAAAAATTGGTTTCCTGGATTCTGGACTCTTCCTCAAATGGTTTTCCTTTAAATAAAGAAGGCCTTCTATACTCTGTACAAAAAATCCAAGAGTGTAATATTCATAAAAAAAGAAAAAAATACCCCTTCCATCAGTGGTTAATTCAGATAAGTGGATAGAAATTTTTGAAGCCAAAGAAAAATCTAAGGAAAATTTAGCTGCAGAAAAGGCTGCAAAAAGAGCAAGTAAGAGTGACAAAATAAACAAAGGAAAAAATTTAACAAAAAAAAAGTTTAACAAAGAGGAAAACAATGATGTGTTTTTAGATAAGCCTACACCTAATGAAGAACAAATTTATGATGAAAATACCAAAGAGTCCAGGGAGAGTAACAGCAACCGACCAAAGAAGATATTAATACAAACACTGCTGTGATAGAAGAGGCTAATACTGATAAAGTAAAAAATATGCTTACCATTTTAGATATAGGAAGCTATGTAATAGTCAAACATGAAGGTGAATTGTATTGTAAAACTGGAATAAACCATTGGAAATGGCCTGATTCGCCGGATCTATTGTGGTACAAAGTCCAAGACATACTGTTAAAAATAAACAATCCTAAAGCCATAAATACCAGAGGAGTGCAGTTCCCGAAATGAAAGCCTTATAATAATTAAGTTTCTTAATTATTAAGAAACTTAGTTTTGATTTTTTATTTCTGTATATTGTTAATTTTTGTTTCTACTTAACTCTTTGACTAAAAAATGTATTTTTTAATATTTTATATGAAAAAAATAAACTACCTGTTCATTTTGCTTCTTATTTCATATGCATTTCAATAGGATGGCCACAACTGGTGAGGCCTCTGGCCACAAGTAGAAAACAAGTGGCCACAACTAGCGAAACTGCTCTTTTCGGCTATTTTATTGAATTTGTCTTTGTCTGACCTATATATTTCAAATTAGATAAAAGTTCTTAAGACAAAGATATATAGTTATACTATATCTGTCATTCGAGGAGGGAAAACTGTCAAAATAAATAAATTGGAGTTGAATGAAGTTAAAAGTTTTCTTAAGATGGCCACAACCGGTGCATCTACCCTATATAAAAAATCGTTACTGGAGCCATTGTATGTTTCTAAGGCCGAAATATAAGAAGTACGAGTAAGTACTACTTACTAAGTACTAAGTACTACTTACTACTTACTAAGTAGCCAATATTAAATATTAAAAATCCATTAAACTTACCTTAATTTACAACACTACACACCTGCACAATGTAAAGCACTTTTTAGGTGAGAATAAATAAACCGTTTTTTAATTTGAAATGTGATAATTTAAAAAAACATCTTC